CCGACCTTTTATTTTCCCATAAAGTAACACAAACATGACAAGCCAGATATGAAATAACTGAATTCAACGAAATACATTTCCAGACGCTTACCATTTTTTTTTTCCTTTTCACAGTTGAAAACGCAAAAGTAAGCGAGAGTAGAAGGTTATTGGCCACCTTACACACCGACACGAAAACGGAAACGAAGCATAAATATTGACACAGCAATCCTTTTGGTCAACTGTGCGATGCACATGAAGGTTGGGGACTCGTGGTGAGATAACCGCAAAACATTACCGGTTCCCATGGGGCGGTGGGAATCTGGTCAGACACTATCCTGAATTCTCCGCAAGGAGAGGGGTGGATAATGCAAGACAAAATGTCAGACCAACATACTCAAGAACCTTGTTTTCAAATGACCGACCAAATGACCCAAAAGAGAAGGAGCACCAAGCGGTACGTAGATATCTTAAAATCTTGAAGGATAGACGCCGGTACAAAGTGTGGGGGGATTGTTGGTCAAGCTTTCGGCAGCGAAGGTCTACTCGGGAGCGGTAGTGGGGTAGCTACCCATGGTGTACCGTACAAACGTTGATGACCGTAACTCATTTATCAACCCTGGGTCAACTTAGACCGCCATCAGGGAAGGTAGTGCTCTCTGGCGTCTACGAGGGGGGATTTTTATGGCTGTATGTCATAAAAATCAAGGAAGAGACGGACATCCCGATGTGTGAGTGAGACCTTCTGTTATGCAAGCCACCCTTGAACCTTACATGGGGAAAATGACCTCCCCGGAGGAAAGTACCCAGTACAGCAGCTGGGGCAAGTAGAGAGAAGAAACGGTCGTGGGACGCTTGGGTTGGTTACCATGCAGATCGCCTGGCATAAACTTGGGGTACTTGTGCTAAGGGTGTTGAACCTGGCTCCAGGCTATGAGCCCATGTTGGAGGCACTTTTTAGTGTCGGTGAGCCGGCAAAAGAATTGAAAGACACCAGACCCTCAACAAGTACCAGGATTGGGAAGTCCCAGTAATTTGAAAGCATCACACTTCAAACAAAAACAACGAGATACTCTCGAAAGAGATAAGGAGGGAGACGACAAGGTACAAAGGGTGGAGAAAGAGAGAATGGAAAGGTGCAGTACTG